AGACAGTATGTACATATGAAAAGCAAGTGTTAAAAGAGGAAAATATAGATCCTCTGATTGAAAGTACGGAAGTATTTGTGATAAAAGCACGGATAAAAGTTGGGAAATGGTGAAATTGAACAGAGTAACTTTACTCATGCAGGTGAAGTGATGTTACGTTGATAACAAGGAATATTTGAGAAGGAATGGTAGATCAAATTTAAAGAAAAGTAATCTCCAGTTGAAACAGTTTGATGGGTCAATCATCAAAATTTTAGAATGCCTTGAAGGCACTTAGAGAAAAAAATAGATTCGAGATAATACGCATCATCGTGATGGAAAACATCAAAAGCTACAGTCTTTTAGTAATTGATGTGTCAAGAATGAATACATCGAAGCTGGTAAATTCCATGAAGTCTGTAGAACTGGATATCGGATTATTAAGCGGATATTAAGCGAGTATTTGGCTTAAAGAAAGCAGTCAATCCATGTATTTTCAAGCCCCAAAAGTTCCTGTTCACATGATACCCTTGGTGGTTGCTAAGCTGAACAAAATGGTAGAACAAGGAATATTAGAAAAAAAGTCAACCAGGGTGGTAGCAATTGGGCTTCACTCATTGTAGAGATATAGAACCCCAATGGAGATTTAAGAATTTGTGGCGATTGTAAGGTGGCCGTAAATCTCCAGATCTGGTCAGATTCATTCCCATTACCAAACACAGAAACAGCACGCCATGAGTTTGCAGGTATGAAATAATTTGCTGAAATTGAACTTAAGTCAGCATATTATCAGATAAAAATTGATAGCAATTTCAAGAAGTCACCACAATGAACACCCCTATCGGATTAGTAAGATGGAGTCGTCTGCCAAAAATCCAAAAGTATTAGAGTGGCTTAAAAATATAATTGTATATCAGAATGACATTGGCATTAATTCACGCAGTAAAGAAGAGCACAAAAGTAAAATTGTGCAAGTTTTGAGAAAATTAAATAACGTGGGTATGACAATTAATAGCGATATATGTAAGTTTAATTGTGAAAAATTTAGCATCGACGATAATAAATATCTAAAGACTGTACACCGCCGGATGATAAACTCATTAATAAGATATCAGAGATACCTGCATCCAGAAATAAAAAAAAATAGATTCTATTTTGGCGGGTGGAGATTAACCAATTTCTATAACAGATATCTATCACGATATAGTGACCCTGTGGAGCCATTTAACGAAATACGAATATCGAGTTTCAATGGACAAAATGACGGGAGAACGCTTTCGAGAAATTTAAAAAAAAAAAGCACTCATAAACAAACTAGTTGTTAAAATCTTCGAGAATTGACTTTGACTGTGCTATAGCTGCAATATTGTCACAGGAGGATCACTATCAAATGTACTTATCTAGAAAACTAACATCGGCGGAAGCGAATTCTTCGAATATAGAGAAAGAGGAATTGACGATTGTTTGGAGCACGAAAAGACCGAAGGGAAAATTTCTATTAAAATCTGATGATAAGCCTTTGGAATTTATATTCAGCCTCAGAAGAGAGTTGCCAAAGGTCAAATCTGCCAGGAGATTAAGCTTATGGCGTTCGACTTTGACTTCGTATACATTGAAGGAAATGTTATTCTGAATGAGGATGCATTATCTCGGTTAAATTTTGAGAGCAAAAATGTTGAAGCAAGTGAAAATTGTGAGGATAGGATCTTGCACTGGATAAAAATAGATGTATTACCCTTAAATTGGCTTAGGTTGGGATTTCGACAGGATCCAGTGTTGAATAGAATTATGGATAGAATAAAGAGAAATACACGGAGTAATTGCTCTATGGCTGAGAAACCGTATAAATAGTCAAGACACAAATTAACAATAGAAAAAGGAATTATATGTAATATGCATATCATAGTACTTCTACAGTCTCTTAGAAAAGAAGTAATTAAAGCTGTGCACAATGATATATATGGTGGTATATTGGCTACGCAAATGAGGTTAAAGTTACAAGCATGCTGGTCAGGTTATTCAAAAGATATGGAAGAGTATGTTAAAAAATGCCCAAATTGTGCAGAAATAAAGAAATTTAGGCAAACTAAAATTAACTCTTGGCCAAAGGAAATGGAGCCGTGGACACAAGTACATATGGATCATACTTACATTAAAGATATAAGACTATTTCTGATATTAGTTGACTCATATTCCGGTTGTCCTGAAGTTATTAAAGTCACGGATAGAAATAGCCGCTACTGTGAAGAAGCGGGTGTTGAAGATAGTGTTTTTAAGAAATGTAGTTCCAAAAACGTTGGTTTCTGACAATGCACCTGAGTTTTGTGAAGAAAGTTTATGTGCATTGTTAAAACATTTAACTGCATTCCATACAATGCACCACCTTATCACCCACAGTCAAATGGAATTGCAGAGAGAATGGTTCAAACAATAATAATGATATTAAAACCATTCTCTTCAGTGGATTGTCATATAGAGTTAATTTACCTAGACTATTTCTATATAGAGAGCTATTCTGCATGCAGACAGAAGACAAAACCCATCCGCCATTGACGTCGCAAGCATAGTGGCTAGGCTTATTATTTTTTTAAAATGGTAACTCATATTTCAGTAGATGTTTTCTTTGTATTCATTTATTAAATAGTATATTTATTTATTTACATCTGCCCGTCTGAATATCGGAAGAATCTTGTTAGAAAAATATGAGTTCTCGGGTAGGATTGGAAGCGGCGTTATTCTCTGTTTTTGTGTTAGTAATCCGATTCGGATTACTAACACAAAAACAGAGAATGTCTCATATCGAAAATATTTAACATTGAAAAACATAAGGAAAAAATTAATTATTTTTAATAATATGTGGAAATCTCCGCTTTTACCTGAAGACGGTCACGAGACCAGAAACTCGTGTAGTAAAATTATGGAAAATAAAGCATAATATTTAAAAAAAAATCCACATATATATATATATATATATTAAAAAGATTAGAACATGGACCGTGATAATACTACATCGGTTTCGACTGCCGACGCTTCGTCAGGTGGTATGATCCTCAAGGGATGATCAGATACTCACAGGTCGAAACCTATGTAATGTTCTGGTCAGCTCTGCAAATTTGTTTTTTTTTTACTTGAAATTGAGCACTTCGAACAAATATTTCAGTTTGTTTATTCCGGCGTGTATATATATATATATATATATATGTATAGCCTGGAGAGTGTGTTCAAGCAGGAAATAGACTGTCATCGCTCGGTTTTGACACCAGTATTCACTTATTTTTTATATATATATATATATATATATATATATATATATATATATATATTCTCGACACTCTCGTCAATTTTCCACGTATGATGATCAAGCAGATCAGTTCCCAGGAAACCGAGAGCGCGACAGCATATATATATATATATATATATATATATATATATATATATATATATGGTGAAGGTTTTGTGCAGAACCATCCGCTCTTTTGAAGGGTCGAATACAGAGACTTGGTGCACTACATGCCACAGGGTCCACAAACGACCCTCCGCAGGTTTTCAATTCAGAGTTGTCCTTTTCCTAGACTAGTTGCCATCCAAGGCTACAGAATCGAATCTGGAGGAAGAAGAAGAGGATTCGCACCTTTTCCGAGGATATTAGCACGTAATATGTAATGGATTCGATTCGTGCTTGCATTTGCATATATATATATATATATATATATATATATATATATATATTAAAATTTTAAATTTTCAGACGCACTGGGTTGTATTATTATTATGATTATTATTATTATTATTATTATCGTTTTTATTATTATTTCATTTAGATTCCTCGACTAGTTTCGGCCAACATGGCCATCATCAGGAGAAAAATAAATTTCTGCTTGCTGGTAGCAGTGAACTACACAAAATATATATATATATATATATATATATTAAAAATTTTAAATTTTCAGACGCACTGGGTTGTATTATTATTATTATTATTATTATTATTATTATTGAACATTTAGATTCCTCGACTCGTTTCGGCCAACATGGCCATCATCAGGAGAAAAAAAACACAGTGAACACACACAAAAAACACACACACACACACATATATATATATATATATATATATATATATATATATAAGTTGTATGATACTTCAATACTGTTCAGCACTTGTGTTATTCGATAGGAGATAAACCTCTGGCATTGTAAGGCTCTTCTTAACATTTTCGAGTTTGTTCTGGCCGTGGAATGATAATACTGGAATAAGCTTATTACGATTAATTCACTAAAAGCGACTCTTATTTCAAACCAAGGGCGAAATTTTCCTTTTCTTGTGAAATGTATTAATAAAATCTAATAAAAACGATTGATAAACGCCTTCAAAGTTTCAAGTCCGAGTCGTATTAAACTGGTAACTAACATTGTATGTAGAAATTAACAACTACTACAACTGCTATTGCTACAACTGCTACTAAATACATTGTCTTGTTTATAAGAATTTATCATGTTCTTTCCCCCTTATCTTTTTTTTTTTTTAACAATCTTTCCGGTTGATAATATAAATAATAGTATAATATTTACTACATTAATTTTTAGTATTATTGTTACATTTAATACAAAGAAAAACTACTATTGTTAATATGCACCCGACTAGATGTTAGCTCCCTTTATTTAGCGACAATAACAATGCAACCACGAAGAAGTAAAGATAAAGACTCTGTTTGCCTCTTAGTATTAATGACGCACTATTTTAGCAGGCATTTTGCGGTCAGGTGTGATTTTACTGTTAAAAAATCGAGAAGTGAAACCAAAATGGTATACTAAAATTACAATGATTCACATACTCTTACAATGAAATAAGTTCAACTCAAAAAGGCTGATACTACAATTATTCCGATCATAGTTATATTAAGAATAACTACAGCAAAAGCAAGTCCTTGTAGTTTGCTGTTTTAATTTTGAAATAGTTAAAATTGTTACACGAATGCAGATATGCGTGCTCATCCATTTATGCTAAAATTGGGAAATAT